TACCCTGGGGGCTGGGGGTGATGCCCTGGGGGCTGGGGGTGATGCCCTGGGGGCTGGGGCTGTGCCCTGGGGGCTGGGGCTCTGCTCTGGAGTGGCTGCCTGGAACAGAGGCTGGACAAGACGAAAAGAATAAGGGTTGGTATGTATTAAAAGCCTTCTGTAGATACCCCTTGGGCAGTCAGAAGCCTCCCAGAGGCTCCACCCACGATGGACAATGGTCACGAGTTTTTCAGACTGAAACAAGTTTGGTTCATTTGCATATCAGGGCTTAATTCTCCAATTCCAGCTTCAGGTAATGAAGTTATGTTCCCCCAGCTCACTACCCCCGGCTCACTTTTGTTTTCACTTTTTGGGGCCTGAAGCCGCAGGGTTTCTTTGGGTTCCAGGCCCAGAGGGATTGTTTTGTCTGACCCAAATGTGGAGACAGTAGTTAACACTTTATTTGGAGTTCAGAGTTAGGCACTAATGGAGTACAGGATTTGAAAACTGTAAAGGCTAAAATCTGAATTCTCCAGAGCCGGATCCTCACCACTGCAGCCCCCAGCAGTGCTCTGAGCAGCTGCAGCTTCCCCTGCCCCCTTGATGCCTCAGGGTTTCAGCTTTTATATTTTTCATCTGTTTGCAATCCTGCAGTTCTTTCATGTAGAACTCTGAAGTCCACACACAGTGTCAGCTGCTGCTTTCCCATTTTGATCAGACAAAATTCCTCTCCAGGCCTGGGGATCAAGGACACCTCCCTGCCTCAGGCCCTGAGAGATGGAAACAAAAGTGAGGTGGGGGGAGCAAACCTGGGGTAAATGACTTCATTACCTGAAGCTGGAATTGGAAGATGAACCCTCAATATACAAATAAACCAAACTTTAAAAAGTGTGGAAACCTGTGAGCTGTGGTCCATTTCTGTGTGCAGCCCCTGGGAGAGGCTTTGTCTGCCCAAAATGTACCTGGAGGCCTTTTAATAAATAGAACTGCCATTTATTCCCTTCATTTTGTCTGGCCTCTGTTTTTAGGGAGCCCAACAAGGCATCACCCTCCTAACCTGGAGCTTTTCCCCCCAGTTTTCCCAGGCGCTGAAGAAGTTCATCGAGGAGCAGGAGATCGTGGACCTGAAGGTGTGGACGAGCCAGCTGAAGAGGACAATCCAGACAGCCGAGTCCCTGGGGGTGCTCTACGAGCAGTGGAAGATCCTCAACGAGATCGATGCTGTGAGTGAGAGGCTGCTTAAAAACCTCCGCTTTTCTAGGTGGGAAATAATGTTTAAAGCCAAATTAATCCCCGTAAAGCCAGGTGTTTTCTGTTGATTTATAGCCATGTTTTTGTATCACGGATCTCAGCCATCCAGGATGAGCTTTGGGGTGGATTGGTGCAGGGCTGAGGGTGTTCAGAGCTGCCAGGTGTTGCTGGGGACATTCCAGCTGGTGTGGAGGAGGAAAATAACACTGAGCATCCCAGACATCTGTCACACCCTCCTGGCTGGGCAAAGGTCGCTGCTCCCACTCTGATTCTCTCAGGAAATTGCAGGGTGGTTGCTGGGGAAGCAAGGGCTCATTTTTCATCCCTTGCAAACCCCAGGGATGTCACCCTGTGTGGTTTTGGGATAAAACCAAAGCCCAGCCTCTTCAAACCACCCTGGAACCCACACTGGGGGGCAGGGCTGGGTCAGATGCAGCACCTAAAATTTCCATGCCATAAAGGGATCCCTGATCTCAGCCTCTGCTTTTCCTTCCCTCCCCGCTGTGCCGTTGGCTCGCTGATGAAATGAGGTTTGTGGTGACCAGTTTTTCCTTCCCTCAGGGGGTCTGTGAAGAAATGACCTATGCAGAAATCGAAGCCAAGTATCCAGAGGAGTTTGCCATGAGGGATCAGGAGAAGTATCTTTATCGTTATCCTGGAGGGGAGGTGAGGACCCTAAAAAAACAACAATGCACAGTGCAGTCAACAAATGTGTGGGATTAGAGTTAAAACTGACTTTAAGTTATTCTTTAATTTTAAGTTATTTAATGAGTTAGTTATTTTTAATTCAAAATATTCTTTAATTTTAAGTTATTCTGCCAATATTTGCGTGCGAATGGAGAACATTAGGATCCCCGATTCTCTTTTGGGGGAAATGTTTCTTGATTTCCCTCACTGGGGTGTGCAGATCCAATTTAAATCCATAAATTTGGATGCTGCCCTCAGACACCGAGGGGTTCTGCATCCCAGGCCTGAATTGTCACTGAGAAACCATCTGGGAAACAAAATTATCGTGGGTGTGGCCTGGAGTCATTTCTGAGTTTACTTCACAGCCTGCTTCAATGAATCACTCACTATTTTATTTGGGTTTTTTTCCTGACTGCACTCAATGAGTTACCAGTAATCTGAGCCCTCCCACGGTCTGAAGGTTCTGACACCGAATTTCACTTTCTGCTTTGGCTTTTTTTGGGTTTTATTTCTCCCACTGTTTTTACCACATCACCCATAACCTCCTCATCTTGCTGCTTTAAGTGATATTTCCCTGAATGTGACGCTGTTAATTGCCACCTCTGCTTTACCCCCTGTGTTTACACAACCCCTTGACCAATTCCTGTTTGGTTTTTCAGTCCTACCAGGACTTGGTGCAGCGCCTGGAGCCGGTAATTATGGAGCTGGAAAGGCAAGGCAACGTCCTGGTTATCTCCCACCAGGCAGTTATGAGGTGCCTCCTGGCTTATTTTCTTGACAAGAGTGCAGGTACAAAAATAAAGGGATGATGCTTGGGCTGGTTCCCTGCTTCCCCTTTTTGGGAGGGTGGTTTGGAATGTCTGGGTGGATTTTTTATTTTTTTCTTTAACGAGGGAAGAGCTGTTTAAAAAAGGAGGAAAGGAAACGTTTCAGTGGTGCTTTAACCCTTGCACTGCAGCAGGGCAAGGAGCTCCCCTGGGGATGTGCTGCTGGTTTTTCCGCCCAGATGTTGTTTCTGGAGCTGTTTCCAGCTTGCAGAATGTGTAGGGGACTGGTTTTTAATGTAAAGAAAAAGTTTTCTGCTGAATTAAAGAGCCTCAGCAGCCTGGAAGGGTTGACAGGACTGCTCCATCCCAGGGAAAGTTGAAAATTGTGCTGATTCCTTGCACAGCACACACACCTGGAAGGTTCCAGTGTGCTGCAAGCTCCAGTGAGCGGCACTAGAGCTTCGTAAAACTTTTAATGAAGTTAATAAACTTCTAAAGAACTTTATAAGTTTTTAAATACAGCTCTGAATAAATCTCCTGTGGGCCCATGGCAGCTGTTGCTGAGGTGCTTTCCCAGCCGTGTGCCACGGGTCTCCTCTGGCTGGCCCTGTGCACTGGAAATTATGGAATTATGGAATTGTTTGGGTTGGAAAAGCCCTTTTAGAGGGTTGAGTCCAACCCTTAACCCAGCAGTGCCAGGTATTGGAGAGCCCTGAGCCAGATCAGGCTCCGCTCTCATTTCCAGCTCCTGTATTTGGGTTTTCTGGGTCTCACTGCTGAGTCAAGGTCTGGGTGCTTTTATTCCCAGGACAATTCCCATTCAATCCCAGAATGGTTTGGGTTGAAGGGACCCTTCAAAGGGTTTGGTCCAAGCCCCCTGTGATGGGCAGGGACATCCCTGCAGGGGAGGGGACAGGAGGGGGGCTGTGACATCCCAGGTGACCCCACAACACCTTTCTCTGCCCTAGATGAGCTGCCCTACCTGCGCTGCCCCCTCCACACCATTCTCAAGCTCACACCTGTTGCCTATGGTAAATAACTGCTTTATTTTAATTTTTAATTTGGATTCCTGTCCTGGTTTGTGTGGGGGGATGTTATGGGCAGGTTTGTGTCCAGGTATGGCAGCACCTGGCCATGCTCTGGGAGGTTTTGGTAATGCACAATTAGGTTATTTCCTGCTCAACATACAAAATGTTCCCACAGAAAAGGTTTCTGGAGGGTTGGGGGTGTTGGGTGAGCAGATGAGGAGGTGCAGGGTCTTCCTTCTTGGCCTCTCTTTTAAACAATTGGATTTTCCCTGTGGGTGGGGAAGGCTGTGCCTGCAAACTTGGGGTTCAGTCAGTTAAAATTTGCTTTTCTGTGCAGCCCAAGTAACGCAGGGCTGTGCTCTCACATGTAAAACCACCAAATGAAGTGTAAAATTCTGTTTGTGGGGTGAACTGTGGATTTATGAACTGCATTATTTTTTATAAATAAGAAATTTATTCCTGTTTGCTTTCCCTGCTGTTTTTTTTTTAATAAATTACTGATACAAACTTCTCTTTCTCTTGGGTTAAGGCTGCAAAGTGGAGACAATTACCCTGAATGTGGAAGCAGTCAACACCCACAGGGACAAACCCTCCCTGAACTCAGTAAGTTTTGCTGCACCCCTCTGGCTCCACCTTTCCCAAAATAAATCACAAAACCCACTTGAACACTTGCTAGACCTTCCTGGTGCCTTTCAGTGAGCAGAAGGATTCTCTTCAGGAATAACCACCAAAAGCAGAATTAATTGGATTGTGCATTAGTGCTGCCCAGGCCAGGGGGGATATTTTTCAGAGCTGTTGTGGGGAGCAGAATGGGAAAATTTAGGGCAAAGATTTTAAACTCCAGGTCTCATTCTCAGTTTTCAGTTCTCAGTCTGTTGCTGATGGTTATTGGTAATTTCAAAAGGACTTGGCAAAGGGGTTAAAGTGGATTTTTCTCGTTGTCTTGATGGATTTTCTCGTTCTGAAATCCTCTCTGCCATTATTTAAATGACTGTTGACCATCCACCTTGTAACCACATCCTAAACCTGGGGGAGTTGCTGATCTCTGAGGTCCTTGGTTTTGCAAACCCTGTTTTCCAAACAGGGACTGTCAGGGAAAAGCCTCAGTGATTGCTGCTAATTAATTCCCCCAATTAGGGAGCACAAACCAGCTCTGCTCTGGGAGCTCACAGGAAGTCTGAATGCATCTGATTTTGGGTGGTTTTGGTAGATTTAGGCTTTTTGTTGGATTTTATGAAGGGCTCTTGGGTCTGGTTATTCTGTTGTGACGAGGGACTGGGGAAAGCAGGACCTGCAGCTGTGGCTGGAGGGTTTGTGGAGCTGCCAGATGCCAAACTGAGGATGTTGGGCATGATTTGTGTGGATCCTCGTGGTTTCCAGCATGTCCCTGCTCACAGCAAAGGATTTGGTGATTTTTAATTGGATTAGATGATGTTTAAAGGTCCTTCCAACCCAAACCACTCTGGGATTTAACACTTTTCCAACTTCTCTGCTGTCCCTGCATGGAAATCATTGCTGCCCACCTTGAGGCTGTTTCTGTTCTTTGCTTTGCTTGGGTAACACAGCTGCTTTGGGGCAGAAGAAGGAGGGAGATTTTTCTGCTTGCTTATTTCTTTTTCTCCTTAAATTGATTGTGCAGAGAGAAAAAAAAATAAATAAAAATTAAAATAAAAACCAACCAAACCAAAACAGAGCCACCCAAGAAAAACAAAAGTCCCAAAGGGAAGTAAAACTGCTGAAAAATCACTTTCCAGTTGTCTCCACGATGGATTTAGTTGTTTCCCACGCCGGGGAAGGCGCAGCCCGATGCGGGGTCACCGGGAGATTCAGGGTGGGGTGCTGGAGGTGTGTGACGTGCCTTTAAACTCTGGTTCCCCCTTTTCATTCCTGGTGATTCCCTCTGTGTGGGATCAGCACGACCTCCCCAGCAGGCAGAGCCCTGTGAGGATGAGGAGGAACAGCTTTACCCCGCGGGCCAGCGCCGACACCGTAAAGCGCCCGCGGCACCACAGCCTGGGCAGCAAACCCCTCCATCTGCTGGGGCCTCTGCCATCCCTGGAAGCTCGAGGGCCTTTCCCATCCCTGGAAGCTCGAGAAGGGGCTGAGCAGCCACAGCTGGAAGTCACTGTCCAGGTGGTACCTTCCCTCTACTCCCCCTCCCCACCATCACCCGTGGTCCTCTCTGAGATCCAGACCCTTCCCAGCATCTCCAGCAGGGTCTGTGTTTCTGCATGGAAATCACCCAGCCTGGACTGGATTAAGGAAAAACAAACAGCTGGAAAAAACCCTCAAAACCAACCCCAAAACATAAGAATCCCCCCCAATTCCAACTGGAATTCTGGTGCCAGTCTTTCAGCGTCAGGCAGGTTTCCATCAGGGGGGTTAATGCTGGGTAGGATTTTGCTTCTGGGCTAAAAACTGATTGGAAAAGTAAGAAATGCCCTCTTTGTCCCAGTTTTTTACTGCAGCCAAGTGATGTCCCTGCCTTCTGTCACCTCCTGCTGCGACACAAACCTGGCCTGGGCTGACAGGAAATTTTGGGGCCGCTTCACTCCTCCCCTCATTTGCTTTGCTGCTTTTCCTATTTCAGTCTCCTTTAAGATGCACTGAGAGCCCTGCTGTGCTTCTCTGTTTCCTTTGCAGCCTCCAGAGGGAAATGCTTGCCTCTGAGTGCCACTGCAAGCAGCTTGGGTGTGCTCTCTGTGGGGTTAGTAAGTCGGATTTCTCTTGATTCGTGTTGCATGGAAAGCACTCTGGGCTCCACAAACCCACGGAGCAGCAGGAATCTTGTGCTGGATAAAACCTGAGATTATGGGGGACCTCGGTGGGGGATCCAACTGGCTTTACTGGTGCTTGTGCTCGTGCTGGCTGCTGCAAATTGTGTTTGAAACCCAGTTTGCTCCATCCCTGGATCAGGACATGGGATGGAGCTGAGCAGGGCTCTCCCCTGGGCCCGAGGTGTGGTGACGTTGCTGCTCTCGGGGATTTTGCAGGAGTCACCGGATCATGGATATATCTTTGACTTTCACTGTCTGAGTGTGTTCCTGGTGTCTGCTGGGCCCTGAGCGAGGCAGAGGGAGGAGTTTTATCAAAGCTCTAAGTATTTGTTGTGGTTAATGCACAGGATGGTCGTTGTGGTGGTTCCTGGGTGGTTCTGGAAGTGCAGCTGCCCGTGGAGAAGGGTAAATAAAAGTGAGCAGCCCTGAGTGACCAACCTGCCTCTCTTCTCCACCACTGTCAGCTGGTGTGGGCTCAGGCTGCGATGGGAACACCCTTCAGGAGGGCTGGCAGGAGGCTGGAAGGTGATGTGAAGAGTGAAACAGGTTTTTGTGTGCTCGGATGGAAGGGATGAAGTAAATCCTCAAGTGGTTCCTGCCATGGGCAGCAATTCCATGGAGCTGCATTCACCTCCCCATGTGCTGAGCTGAGCTGTCTCCTGCTTTACCTTCTCCTGCCTTCCTTGCTGTGAGCTCTCCTGTTTCTCTTTTCCCTGCAGAAAATGGCCACTCTGGCAGTGTAGGGGTTCCTGCTTTCCTTGGATCCAGCTGGGAATTCCAGGGCCAGGAGGAGCCGGGCAGCTGGGACTGGAGCATCCCCGGAGCGCCGCGAGCCACCCTGGCCAGTACTCACCTTGAACTGGGACTTCAGAGCCTGTCCATGTCCTTTCTTTCCAAATGCTGGAATGTCTGTCCACAGGGCTGGAGAAGATTTATTGTGGAGATTTTTCCAAGCTGCTTTTAACACTCGTAAGCCATCGCATCCCCGGGTGTTGAAATAGTGTCCCACGTCTTTCCTCCTGGCCAGGTGCCAAAATTAACCACAGTGGGAGGACAAAATAATCATGTTTTCACTCACTGAGGCAGCTTTTCTTTGGAAGAGGCATTTCCAGGCCAAATCCCCAAGCTTTTATTTCTCTGTTACCATCTCCAAGTTATTTCCAAGTTCAAACTCAATTTTTTCTGTTGTTCAGCCGCCCAGGGAGCTCCAGGTTTGGTTTGACTTTGCCTTCGTGAGTGCTGGTGTGAATCCCCCCAATCTGAGCCGGTTCCTTTGCCCTGGGAAGGTTTTTGCTTGGATGTGACACCAGGCCAGCACATCCATCCCATGGGCAGCCTCCTGTGAGGGACAGATGGGAACAAACCCTGCTGCTCCTCTCTGGAGGCAGCACAGCTCCCAGTGCTTTAAATCCCATCTCAATCCCTATTTTAGCTTCTCATCCCAGCCTAAACTTCATCCCCTCACTCATTTTTCCTGCATTTTATCCATTTACCCCAGAAAATGGGATTATGGCTGGGACCAGCAGGGCTCCTGGGCAGGGTTTGCAGGAAGCACAAGGTTTTTGCCAGTTTTTCTTTATAATACACCAAATTTTAGGCCCACAAGAAGCTTTTAACTTGCCTATGAATAAGCTGTGAATGTTCCCAACGCTGCCTTTCATAGTTTTAAGCTGTTGTAGAGTTTAGAGCACAGGTGGTGCAGCTCTGTGTGGCTGTGTCTTAACTTAAATCCTGTCCTTAAATACCCACCAAACCCCAAATTTTCAGTTCTCTCCCACAAGTCTTGACTTGTGTTTTGCCAAACTCCATTTCACCCCACTCCAGCTGTTCTTGCAATAAGGGCAGGACCCTCGTGGTGGGTGAAGAAAGGAACATTTGGGTACAGAGCAGGAGGCTGTTCTGGACTTGCTGTTCCCAGGTGACTCCAGGATTTATCTGAGCAATTAAAAATAAGTTGCTTTTTTTAAATGTGTAAATAATTTCACAGCAGGGAAACCGTGACCTGGCTGTGGAGGAGCTCAGCAGCCCCAGAGCTTGAGGCTTACCTGGGCATTTTGAGCTCAAACTTGGTTGTTTTAAACACTCCCAGAGTTGTAATTCGATAAAACTGAGATAGAGAGGACCAAGGCACTAATGTGGACCCCTCAGGATTTCCGAGGAGCAGAAAAATGTGTTGATCTAAAGCAATTGTGCCACAGAGGAGTGAAATTTGGTGGTGAGAAACTGAGTTTTTATTAGTTTTTCTTCTCAGGGTTTTTACCCCAGGTCTGATCTTGGGTTTTAAATGTTCTTGTGCTTAGAAATAAACAAGAAAAAAAAAAATAAATGTTGAAGGAAGAGGTTTAGAGCCTGTCCATGGCAGTCCTCACTGTCACACTCCAAAATGCTCTGAACGCACAAACCTGTCCTTGTCAGGCCAGCTCCTCCAACCAAACCCCTCCTGCTCTGTGGAAAAAGGAGTGGAAAATGTACTGTAGGTTGTTTACGCACAAAAATGCTGGGATAACTTGCTGAAGAGTTTATGTTCATATCACTGAGCAGTAAATGATTGTAAGGAGACAAAAATAATCTATATTTTTACCTGCTGGGATTTGTGAATGTCACTGTTGACGTGTTGGTGGTTGTGATTTTTTTTTTTAATCATTGCTGAAAATCGGATGTTTTGCAGTTTGGATCAGTGGCTGGGGGTCCCTTTTGGGGCTGTGAGATGGAATTTTATCCTTCTCTGCAGCATTTGTGCCTCAGTGCTTTAATTAAAGCTTTTTCCTCCTGCATTTAGCCTTGGAGAGGTTGTAAGCAAACATGTCTGGAGCAGAGCAGCAGCAGATTTGGGAGCAGATCATCACCCTGAGGGTCCTGCTGAGCCCTTGGGGGTGCAGGGCTGGGGTGATGCCAGGGGTTTCCTTGAAACCACCTGACTTCCTTGGCACTGGGCGTGCAAACATCCCAGAATAAACAAATGTTGTGCAACAGGGTTTTTGAGCTGTTTCTGGTGGAACAGAAACAGCAGCTCGGGCTGTCAGTGGGGTCAGCATCGTGGGCTGGGCAGGGGGAGGTGGGTTTGGAGGTGTGGAGGTGGGTTTGGAGGTGTGAGGGGGTGGGTTTGGAGGTGTGGAGGTGGGTTTGGAGGTGTGAGGGGGTGGGTTTGGAGGTG